ACTAATATATATATATATATATATATATATATATATATATAAACATTTTTCCTTTACTGTCACTTTTGATCAATTTAATTCAGTCTAGCTGAATAAAGTCTAATCAACAAAAGTTAATAAAAAAAACTGTAATGAGCATAAACTACTGGGTATTATAATGTACAAGTCTTGGTGACAGTATATGCTTTTAATGCAAGGAAAGCAGCAGTGTGAATATACTGCTAATCGGCTCCCTTTTGTGTTCCATCTTTTTCCCTTGTATAGGCAGCTAAAATAATCAGGGGAAATAAATTAAAAGGAGACGTAGTAGAACACTACAAACAGAGAAAAGACCAGAAAAAAAACAAGTTTATTCCGGTTGGCTTTAACTCAACTTTTGCTTTAGGATCCAACACATTCCAGTTCGCATTTTAGGGCAAACAGCAAATTTATACACTTGTACTATAGCAGATCTCATATAATTAGATCTTCCAGCAGACTCCTGAAGCCATTTGCACTGGAGTCATTACACACATGGTGAGCGTAGCCTGTTCAGTTACAGCTACAGTCCGTTAACCGTCCAAACAAATGCACGAGCAGGTGTTTCTGCCTTGAAGTTCACATACACACCAAACCAAGCCTGCCAATCACTCAAGAACTAATACACATATACAATCTGTGTGTAGTGCTGTATTCCTATGTAGCTTGTGTATGTGTGTGTGTGTGTGTGCACGCTCTAATGTCTAATGAATAGGTTGTGGAGTGGAGGCAGGGGCGTTTCAGAGCCACATGCCTGCCTGCTGAAATTCTGGAGGGCCCCACTGATGCCATTCCCATCTCATTAGGGAGGCTGCTTATTTCGCCAGGCGCTAGGCTGTTGCCAAGGCCTTTGCACTCCACCATGACCACGCTGGCTGCAGCACACCACTCTGTGTTCGAGCGAGCCAGTGTGTATGTGTGTGTGTGTGAGCCACGTGCCGGCGCAGCAGGGGCTGAGGCAACCGTGACAAATTGTTGAAAAGGTCCGTCTGAACCCAGCACTGACAAGCACCTGAGCCTGAGGGCTGCACACAAGGAGAGAGCAATCTGCTTCACTTCTGCATGCTTTTCTACTAAAAACACGCAGCAGAAAGGGAGGGGGCACACGTATCTGGAAGAAAAACTTTATGCACATTAGTCAGAAAATAAAACTGAAATCTCTGTAATCAAAATGACCAGCAACAGACGGCACGCGGTGTTCTGAATGCATACAAACAAGTCTGAGTGCACTTGCTCGGGGTATTATCTAAAAATAGCAGGTTTTGCAACTGTGGAAACACGGACAGCATTACGGTAAAGAGTCTTTATGGCTCAGCAGGAATGAAAACTAAAGATGGAAGTGTTAGAGAAATAATCGAAAACACAAATTGCAGACACGGCGATGTGAAGAGCATTAAGTAATGGGAGCAAAAGAAAAGTGTATGTGAGTGAACTAGAGGACAGAGGGAGAGGAAGGGAAAAAGAGGAGTGAGAATAAGGGATAATAAGCCTGATCCCACAAGGTCAACAGAGCCATATGGCGTTCCATTATCAGAGATGCAGATGACTTAAGCGTGGCTCAGCTATTGAGATTCCTAAAACAAATATTGACCTCAGCCAGAGTCACGGCTGCCATCGGCCACCCTGCACTCCCACTTCCTGAGGATGAAAAAAAAAAAACCCTAACCTCTCATCTATTGAACAAATCTATGCAGCGGTCACAGCACATTACATTCATCTAAGCCTAAACAATGTTTGCGGCTTCGCATCAATTCTGGCACACCTCTGATTTTCGTGATACTGCGTAGACTCGGCAGCTGTTTGCATAAATGTATACTGGTGTTTAGATATGGGATTTGCTCTTTGGTGAACATTGTAGTATGAAAAAGGCATAGACAATTACGCATCAGGAGTCAAAGCAATCAAGCTGCTTTTGCTGGCAGACTTAATGATTTGTCTGCCATCACTGCCCAGCATCTCATCTCTGTCTCGGGTTTCTGTAATTGTTGCGGCACAGGTTGTTCTGTTGAATGCATGAGGTGGGCTGGATTAATTCAATAAAGCAGAGGACAGTGCTTCGCACGCCGTCGGAGAACGGAACATACAGGAAATATGCTGAATGTTTGCACGGACAGAGGTCGCTTGGATAACACCGTTCCAGAATGCTAGCGCTCAGAGAAAAACAAACACGGGGCAATTCTGTTTTTTACGCAGACGAGCGGGAACCTACACAATTTGGCGATGAGAAGAAGTTTAGGGATTTCCCAAAGTGACTGTAACTTAAGTCACCCTTTCAGCACCTGCGACGGAAAACTCTCCCGGCAGATGGAAACGAAGCATAGTGGGAATTCCCGAAAGCATTAATCGCAAGAACACGACTCCCAATGGTTCGTGCACCCAGAACATCTACACAGAATGTTCTAGAAAGCGCTGGAGAGAGGGAAGTGGTGTCAAAAGGGCAAATTTAACATCCCCCTGCCATGTAAAATAATGTGACGACCTCATCCGAGCACAGGTCAGATTGTGCGTTGATGGGAGAAAGGGGGAAAAAAGTGTGTAAACAAATAGTACAATAGCGCTGTTACACCAGAGAGGGAAAAACAGATGAAGCAAATCCACTTTGGAGGACAAATATGTCCTCTAAGCATTTTGCAGAGGAGTTTTAACAGATAATGCTCTTTTTCCACTCTTTTGGAGGCCACTTAGCCACCCCACGGTGCACCAGGTGACAAAAGCGAGGCATTAAAGGCTGTCGAGAGCAGAAGCCCAGGGGAGCGCACCGACTCATTGAGTATTCAGGAACAGTCCAAAACAATCAATTCAACTGGGTCTTCAACCAGAACACTCGGAAGCAGAACACAGTCGACTGTTTTGTACATATTACTACAACCAAATCAACCGAGGATTGTTACAAATCGCAGGGAAACTTTTGGATTCAAGTACGAATCTGACTAATCACATAGTGCTGTGCGATATGCATCGTCTACAATAATATCGTAATTATTGTTTTAACGAAGCTGACATTATCAAGTATGTTGCTTACTTTGTTTTGCTCCATGATGTGGCCTAGTATAATGCAGTTAGAATGATCCCAAAATTCAATATATGGGGCCAGAAAAGTGAGTTTTTGTCTCATATTTATATCATAGAGTTAAGTGATATTACGAGCAAGGGTGCTGTTTTCTTCCCAAATATCAGTAAGATTATAAACGTGATTGATTATACAGTAATCTAGAGGTTAGAATTGTAAGTTATATTGTTAAACTCAGTTTTTTTCTTTTCTTGTCAACAGAAATAGTCAAAAACAAACTGTCGTGTTGCATTACTGAATGAATCCGCTGGTTGAATGAAATAACTGGTCGAGTCAATAATTCAGAGATTCATCCTTAAAGACAGCAGTCTCTTCCTTTGTTCCTGAATGAATCAGCCATTTGAATCAATCGGTTAAATGAATGACTCTCATCATAGGGAAGTCGTGGCCTAATGGTTAGAGAGTCGGACTCGTAACCCAAAGGGTGTGGGTTCGAGTCTCGTACCGGCAGGGATTGTAGGTGGGGGGGAGTGAATGTACAGCGCTCTCTCCCACCTTCAATACCACGACTGAGGTGCCCCTGAGCAAGGCACCGAACCCCCAACTGCTCCCCAAAATCAATTTAAGAGAAAAAAACTGTGAACCAAGCATTGCACAGAAAAGCCTAAACCAGCCAAGATTCCAGCACAAAAATACACTCAGCAAAATACCGTCTAATTAATGATATTGACAAAATCCTAGAAAATATTGAGAGATCGTTTTGTCCAACACACATAAGTGATTATTTTAAGTGAGCTAAAACAGATGCTTTATTGTACGAGTACACCACCCATTCGTTTACACCACCCAAACCCTACTAAATTGGCTGTCATGAAATGATCATTTTTCTGATGTTGTGTGAGAGGGTGATAGAGCGAGATGAAGAGTATGTGTGCTATTGTCCAGATGGTAAGGGGTAGCCAGTGGGGAATTGAGAGGTCAAGCACTTTGGCAGATCAAAGCCAAGGTCAGGTGGCAGTAGTGGCCATGTTCAAGGTGCACAGGGCCTCAGATGGCTTCTCATTAGAAGTCAGCTCAGGGGCCAGACCTCTGGGACCGCCTTCTGAACACAACCCACCCTGAA